TTCTTGTCTTACAATATTGTTTCTCAAAAGCAAACTTTGACACAAATGTGAACTCACCAAACTAACATTTCATGAAATAATCATATCCAAAGTCTGTGAAAAATGCTACAGTGGCATCAGTGTTTAACAAGAAACCAAAATATAGTCCTGGAGATTTTATACTATATAGTTAGTCCATTCCGTATGTAGAAATTTCTCCAACAACTACGAGTATAATGTGTAGCAGACGACTATGAACTAAAAACCATTCAAATATTTTAGAGTGGTAAAGGTGGGGAAAGAGATTCTCCTGACTTAAAGCCTTGCATAACTCAGTTATGGCTAGGGTGCGAATAAAACTAGGCCGTGCTAGACCTTGACATGTTATAGACCAAATTCTAAGACATAGCCTAACCTATTTCAAAGTCTGGCCTGACCTACAAACCTATTTAAAGGCCTACTATTCAATAAAACTTATAAATAAATTTTCAGCAGAATTGAAAATAGGCTGGGACTAGGTAACCTTTGCTTAAAATGGTCTGACATGTATCTCAAATGCAAGGCCTAAGCCTAGCATTGAGTCTGTTATAGATATTTTTAGGAGCCTAACATTTTAAAAACTTAACCTGACCTAGAAGCTTTGCTTTAACTGATTATTTGTAATAATCTCTTCTAATATGTTAGAAACCATATTAATAAAAACTAATAAGGTTAAACCTTTAAATAGACTAACAAATATTTCTGCTTAAAATATTATAATTAAAATCTAATGAACATTATTACTAATAACAATAGTTATAATAATTTATATATTAAATAGGCCGATCTATTAAACTTAAAAGGCTTTATTTGTGGCCTATGACTGGCCAATTTAGTTAAATAGGATTTCAAAAAAGCTAGAGCTATCGTAGTCATGACCAACAAGACCGAATATAGGCCCCTGTTGGGTGGCTTAGCCAACTCCCACCCTTATTAATGCAAATAACATTCTGAAGACTAAAAATGATTGTGGCTACAATCCAAGTTTGGCATTTTAGGTTAGATTTAACCATCATACACAAAAGCAAAACAAAGGGAAGAGAAGCTTTCATGTGGCAAATCAAACATTTTTCCTCCCCTTGGTTGCCTCAATCCAACCCTCCTCTATCTAATGAATCAGGCTTAAAAAATTCAGCATGGATGGATAGATGCCATATGGTCGCTCACTATTCAATATTTCGTATATAGCAGTACCTCTACTCTCCTTTCAACCCAATCTCCTACTTGATTGACCATCAATATTTACTACCAAGTTGTGACAGTTAAAATACAAATTGAAAGTACCTCTTCTTTCTTGTCGTTGCCTCCTGCGAATAACTTGTATCCCCCATAGAAGAGTAGTCCCCAACCAGATAAAGAGACAATCACAAACTGCAATCAGAAAACAATTAGTCAAACAAATATTCACATACATTTTCCATTTCCAGATAAATGGTCCAATTCCAATCATCGTACAGTAAAAATTAATAATTGAAATTGAGTTCAGTGAATCTTTAAGCATAAGAATAGACTCACATGCTCTTCCTTCCATTTAGATGGACTCATTGGGTCTGTCCAACAGTTAACTTTAGGGGGGCCATGGTGATCTGCAATAATCAAAACATAAAGCCATTTTCACACATGCTAGAATTGTGTACTGAATACAGACCAAAAAACACACAACATAAATTTCTTCACAGAAAAAAAAGAATAGAAAGACCAAATATCTATTGATTAAAATAATGTTAACATAGGATAGGGTTCATGAAGCCACATTCACTATCAACACCAAAGCCATTGTTTCACTATCACAAAATATGTAACCCTCTGTTACCATTTACAAACATTATACTCACAGTTCTTCCCCAAACACAGTTTTCCCCTTGTTCATTTCATAGTTAAGATTTTAAAAAAATTGTAACTTTAAAATTCCAGTTTTTTTTCCATTATTAGCAGCGTGACAAAAAGTGCAATTAACGCATTGGTTCGTAAGTTTTCGTAAAAATGAACAGGTATCCAATAGGAAGGGGAACGGGATGCTTTGGATTTTGATTATCGTGAATGCATAATACCGAATGAGATTTCGTGGCAGTGTTTGATTGGAGAGATCTTAATGAATAAATAAATAAATAAGAAAATACCTGCGGCTCCGGCGAGGTTGCGGCGGTGGATGAGGTTGGGGGATTGAATGGGGGTTTTGAGAGTGGAAATAGAAAGACGACTAAGTGATGAGGCTCGACGAACTAGAGACGCCATAGCTTTGAGGTTTAGCTTGAGAGAGAGACAGAGCAAGGTAATGAATGAAAATGCAAAGGGGTTAGGTATACTGACAAAAACTATATCATTTTATTCCAAAATTATATTATTATGTCATTCATAATTTAAATTTAAGTCTTAATAATATTATGTTAGTTCATATTTAAGTACGACACTTCGCATCATCTTAGCCCTCAATTCTTGGATTGGTATTGTATTCTATACTATCAGAAAATAACATTACCAAGAAGAGGTGCGTTGGTTTAGGTCCCTATATGACAATACTTCTGTAATGGAAGCCCTAACCATGTCCATTTCAATCCCAACCCTTTTATCTTTCAAGCCCAATCTCCCTTTCCACACATCATCACCCTTCTCTTCTCACAGATGCCAACCACTCTCATCTCTCTCTTTCCCCAAACTCCAACCCTTTAAGCCTCAACTCACAACCAACAATTTAACTAGATTTTCTATTTGGAAGCGTTTTGCTGTAAACGACGATGATGCTGTTGTTGGGTTAGATGAAGTTGATAAAGATGCTCGAGGACAGAGCTCTATGCCAGAGCGGTTTCGCTACCTCGCTAAAGAAGCTCCTCATAATCCCACTCGGTGGCCTTGGCTTCTGGGTCTCTTATTTGAAAAATTCAAACTTTATTTATCTAATTCACTGTTTTTGTTTTTTTTTTAGTTTCGTCAGAGTGATTGTGTTAATGGGGATTTTTTGCTTGATTTTCTATGAAGAATTATGCTTATTTAAAATTGGGGATTTTTAGTGTCTTGGCGTTTCATGATATGGGTAATTATTTGTTCGTTGTCTTCTTATCCTCGTTCAAAACCGTTAATGCTTCACTTGGTTAGATGAAATTGATCAATTATGTTGAAATTCAGTTCTAATTTGGATTTTTTATTATTTGTTCTTCCACTCTTTAAGTTTTAGTGGAATATTTGTTCAGAACTACGTTTACTTCTCTTGTATATGTATTCATGATCAACCATTTTTTGTTTGTTGTTTATTTTACCTACATTTCATCATACATGCATAGATTTATCATTGTTGTTGGATAACTAATAGGAAGAATTTTACTGCATGCTTAGATTAATTCTCGTCACTATGTAACCTTAAAGCCCATGTTTCAGTGTGAGGGCTGCGTATTTAGGTGTTAACTTCCTCTATTAATTGTTGCTATTTGCAAATCTGGACAAATTTGCATGTATAAGTTTAGAAAAATATAGTTTTCACCTTCTACTTAAACCCTTTTTTGGTTCAGCTATGCAGGGTCTTTCTTTTACATGCTCATCATGTAACTATTTGTTTCTTGTATATATACAGTAATTGCTGTTCTCATCTATGCTTGGAGAGCAGTTCTGTTCGAGCTGTCAAACTGGAGGAATGCCGCATTTGGTATCGTTCATTTTATAGGATACACCATTAAATATGTTTTCGCAGTGTTCTACCATTTCATCGGAGATCCAATCACTTTTTCGATTAGATGTGTTGAGGATTTGCTTTACACCATTCGGGCTTTCTATTCTTCCATTATTAACTATACTCCTGTACCAGACATGACCATCACCATTGTGCTGGCATCAGTAGTTTTGGCTATAGCTGAAGCTACTGTTCCAGACTGTGTCAACAACCAACCTTATGTTTTGACTGTATCTGGTCTTCTTGGCTATGCTGCTGTTAGAGGCTATATTTCTGAACCTTTGTTCTGGACCCTTCTGCTTGGTGTGTATGGTTTTTCAAAACTTATCAAAAAGAGAGACAACATTTCATCTGCCATGCCTGTTGCAGCTGTACTTGCGGCTGTCGGAGAGCCTTGGGTTAGGGTTTTGGTGATTATTTCATTCACAGCCTTAGCTATTTTCCAGCATTCCAAAATGCTTCGAGAAGGGAAGGAAGTTGAAACAGCAGAGAGGAGGCTTCCGATTCCACTTCTTGTCGCAGCTTTAGCTATTGGTATACGCATTGCTGCTAAGTGGGCTGGGTATCGGCACTTGACTTGGATGATAGTGTGACTTCCAATATGTTACTTATCTGTGTTTTAGAATGAAGTTTGGTGGTCTATAAAGTTTCGGGGTAGCATGTGATGTAGCATGTGATGTAGATGTTTAGATGTTTCATGATATGGGTAATTATTTGTTCGTTGTCTTCTTACCCTGCAATCATTTTCGTGTTCTTTTCATGGTGTATAAGGGAGCGATTCTCCCTGTGCTATGTTTTATGGTTAGAAGCTTTGTTAGTGTTTGTAACAGAGCCATGATTCATAGATAGCATGGGAAGGTGGATTATAAACTGGTTAAATGTGAAAAGGTATTTTCCTGTAGTAAAGTTTATCAATTAATCCGTTTCAATGCATTTTCAATTTTGATGTATGATTACTTGGAAGCTTATGTGTAGCAGCACCCAACATCTTACTAAAATGCTGTTAGCAAAATCATTTTCCAAAGGATGTTTATTGACCACATAGCTAAATGGTAGGAACTATATAGGCTAGTATATTCACCAAAGGGATAAAGCTCCAAAGAAATAAAATTATAAAGTTTTGCTATATCACAAAATCCTCTTTAATACTAAACAAGGAAAATAAGAAATTCTACATCCTCCTATATACCAGGTGGTAGGTATTATATGAAAAGATGGTGCATTCAACGTCTGGAAAATAAAAGGATTAAAATTGAGAAAATAATTATAAGGATAAAATTACAAGAAAATAGGATTGGGCTAATCGGGTAAACATCACCCAGTAATAGAACCCAATATCATCTTCTAGAGTTTCTTTTCGCCTACATAATAACCCAAGTCCCTTCATTTCTTTCATATCTGTAGCCGATTAGGGTTTTGCTTCGATTAAAATTCTTTGAAATTATTCAACGGCATATTAGAAATGATTAGGGTTTCGCCACCTTTTAGAATCTTGGCATTCCTTCCAGATTTGTCTCCATAACGTTTAATTGCTTCTAAGAATCGTCAATTTTTTTTGCATGTTGCATCCCCGGGCTTCTCTGATAGATGGATGACGCGAAAGCCCCAATGCTCGTGCAAAATTCCACGCCGTTCGTGTTGCAGTTCAGCCTTGATTTCTTCCATGGCTGTGATCTGTGTCAAATCAACTGCTAAATTCCCTATTTTATTAACCAGTTTATATACGTTCAATTTTGTCACTGAATTTGCCTCGTAATACCTTCAGCTTGTTTTCGAATACAGTGTGTTCCATGAATTTGGAGCTAGTTCTAGAGGCATAAATCGATTAACGGGTTGTTTTCGATTTTGGGGATCCTACCTTTCAGTGTTTGTCCCTTCGAAAATATCTGTAATATAATTAGTTAGATCTTAATGTTGTTTTTATATTTTTAATTCTTGGCGATGATTAAACCTTATCCGCGCTTCTGAGAATCTTCAATGACGCACAAAGGATAAAAATGGTTGAATTTCTTAATATGAGCTGAGTTTTTTATATTATTTCTTAGTAAATTTGATCATTCTTATTCAAAACTATATCATTTTAGTCGATATTTATTATAATTTCTACTGTAGTATATTTGTTGTCTATGAAGATATTCATTCAGCTTATGCCAGTTCTGCTTCTGAGAATTCTTGATTGATAAAGCTGTTACATATTCTGAGCCAACCAATGAAACTGAATTATTTTTTGTGATTAGTGTTCTTAACTTCTTATTGTCGTAATTTAATTTTGTTGTTGCTTATTATTCTGTTATAATGATGTATTCTTACTTATTGTTTATGTTATTACCTGTGATGATTTAATCCATCTAGTTTGAGGTGTAGTGGAACTAAGCCCATGTTTACATGGAGAACCTACTTGGTGAAGCTACATTCATATGACATCAATGGATTATTCTGAGGATATTTATTATGTTATAGTTTACAATTATACTTATGAGACCATGTTTTCCTTGTTGTTATGCTGTGTTATTTATATATCCCTCTACTCTTTGGCTCTGTACATCTCACTCAATTTGTTACAAATCAATTTTGTTTTAGGCAGTGGTATACTAAATCCATGTTTTCTGGTAGAACCTACGTGGGGTAGTTACATTGTCAAAGATATCAATGATTTATGGCTGATTTTGATAATTATTTCAATTTTCTATGTTCTCATGTATGATGTTTTTCTAATTTGGTTTTTACTAATTCGGTTTTTTCATTGCTATAGGTGGGTATTGTTGAAATGCACTAGATGATTTAATTAAATGAAATTTTGCTGAGTTTCACTATACCCTTTACTTTGTTAATTTGTTTAGGGTCTGAATAACTCAAAGATTTTGTGTTGTCATCAGCTTCATCTCTTGTTCAACCCACGGGATAGGAGTTAAATAACAGCACTACATTTATTTTGTTAGCAATTCCTTATTATAACTTAGTATGACCCATTGTGGCTGCTTATTTTTTATTTTTTTATTCCATAATATCCTGTATCCTCTACCCCCATTGGCACAAACTCACTGTAATTCATCATTGATAAATGTGTCACAATTTGTTAGGTTCAGTTGTATCATTTATGTTATTCTAGTGGTTGCAGCCTTCTGCTCTGCTCGCTTCCTTGTTACTGTACAAAACATTCATTCTTAAATTTATAGTTTCAACTATTTGGACTCAATTATGTCTTTTTTTTAAAAATTGAAAAAATAAGGCATTGCAGCCTGGATTAATATAAAGCAATGTTGTGAAATGTGTTAACTTCGCAATGCAAAGAACCTAGATATACATTTTTACACAGTATACAGAGAATCTGAACTCCTCTCTTAGAACAACATAAGGGTACGTTTACCCATTCCTCAACACAGTAGTGTTACATACAATGGATGATTTATCCTACACACAAAAATCTTGTTCTTTCATCCTCCTGTACTTGCTGTAAAACATTTTCTAAGGCACAGGCATATTCTCATTGATACTTGTAGTTGGAACAAACCCGAATGAAAAATGATTTCAGGATCTTTGTGAACATCTTTTACGTGGCATCACATAACTAAGTAAGCCTAATTTTGTTCATGAATTCTGCTCCGTTCATCATGGGGATAAGGCATATGTTTTTGCGTTATACACTACCTTTGGGAATAACTTGAATAAGATAATGCTGCAAGCGAAGGTGTTTTCGGGGTCGGGTTTGTGCTTCCCAACTATGAACCCGAAATTCAAAACCCGAACCCGAATTAAGCGGGGTTGGAAATAAGGATGTCAAACCCGAACCCGAAAAAACATATATTTATATATATAACTTTTATATATGTAATTATATAGTTTAACATATATTAATCGGGTTCGGGGTAGGGTATTAACAATACCAAACCCGAACCCGAAATTTGTACTCGGGTAAAACCCGAATCCAATCACATCGGGTTTTCCCCGTTAATTTCAGGTTGGGTTCGGGCGGGTACCCGCGAGTTCGGTTTTCATTGTCATTCCTAGTCACACCAGAGTCAAATGTTTCAAAAATAATACCCCAAAAAAAATGGAGACAGCCATTTTCTCAAATTCATTTTCTAGAGATATAAATTGGGATTTCACTATTTTAACCATGAAATAATAATCAAAATAATGATAAAGTACAAACTCTTTTACTTTGACATTCATCTTATCTTCCTGTTCAAAAACTATGATGATTTTTTTTGGATATTCATACAATGATGTGTTTAGCATAATGCATTTTATGCTGGGTATTTGAGTCAAGTAAGCCCCGTTTTCATTGGAATGGTTTCTCCATAGTGGAAATTGAGGGAACACTACTGTATTGGACTAGTAAAAACAATAAGTCAAAATCAGTGAAATGTTGGTTCATTCAGTTAATTAACTCTCAATTTCCACAGCAATGAATGTCAATAGTTACTTAAATTAAAAAACAAAATAAACGAAGAGGAAAACGTATTAAAAAAAAGAAGACAAGAGTTGTAAAATCCATTATGTTCACTGTACAATTAGAATTTACAAAATGAAAAGTAAAACAGTATATACATTGTTTCCTTTTTCATCATCATCATAGATATAATTTAAACTCTTCTGAGTTAACCACCGAGTCAAGGAATGAGTAACTACATAACTCAGCCCTGTCCCCAGCAATTTAAGTACATCACTTTGCGGAGAGAATCTTCAGTTTCTTGTTGTCCCCTCCGTGTACCACAGTCTCCTCCAGCGGAGACAAACCTTGTGCGGTGGTCGGTGTGGATTTGCGCCACCGCCAACGTAGTTGCCATCCAAATACGGAACGAGTAACCCATTTAAGTTGTTATTGTTAGAGAAAAAACGTTGTTTTGGGTGTTGTGTCTGTCTCTGTGTTTGTTTATATATAAAGAGAGAGAAGAAAGGAAACCGGAGGCTATAAAGATCAAAGGTGGTTTTTCTAGGAATACAAAAAGTGGTTTTGGTGGGTGGGTCCCACTATTTTGTTTATTTTCGATTTGGATATGTTTGATGATGATGCATCCATCCCTCTAAGTTTTTCCATCGTGGTAATGAAATATTATTCCGTATAAATCGCAGACGTTAATATAGTTTTACCATTAATCAACCTATACAAGTCATTAATATCTTTTGTAATGTCTTTTATGGCTTTCGTGAATTAAATATTAATATTTAATTTTATATTATATATGGTGAGAGAAATGTTATAGGAACATGATGAGGTGGCGGGCTTATCCTGAAAGATATGGATGAGTGATATATAGAGGTCCAATCATAATTTAACAACCACTTGTTCAACTTTTCTCAGATCCCAAATTGTCTCTTCAGGGGTATTCTTGTCTTCTATGTATATTTTTGTTTCCCTCCCATGATTCATCCCACTAATTGTGATTTGTGCCACTTAAGTATGAGTATTTTGTATTTTTGTTTAATATATGAATTTATGTATATATGTAAAAAATATTACCCAATCAGTTGTTTTTATGTATCTCCACATTGAAGTAGTAATTTTTAAAAGTTGTTCAATGTATATGCTTAATTGCATCGAATCACATTTATTATAAGATACTAGAATTCCTATAAAGTGAGATTTTAAGAAAGATTCACAACAAATCCTCATTTATTCCTCCAATTAATACATAGACCAAGAAACCTTGTATTCACATATGCAGAGAAAAGGGGGAAAGTTACATATAATGCCACAATAAAAAGAGTATAGCCCCTGGTTTCTCTTTTTCCATTTTTTGGGTCTAAAATGTTTGTATTAATACCTACGAAGCAAGTGCACAGGAATTGGAGGAGTTTGTTTTAGCTTAGCAATCATCAATTGCGTGTCTTTATTTACATCATATGGTTAGGTATTTGCTGACTCTGCCTCTTATCTAGTTTCATTATAAAATTATTACACATCATACACCAAATTATTAAGGACGTACATTTGCATAAGATCTTCCAATTATTCACTATCAGCAGTTTGCTAGTATTTTAAGAGTGTCAAGATAGTTACTTGTAGAAATGTTTTACAAGTTGCCCCGTACTACCAACTTTCGTGACTTTTAAATTAGATATATTAAATTGGCTCCTACCATAAACTAGAGATGAGCATGACTCGACCTTACCCGTTCACCCGGTTTGGCTTGATTTTGATTATGTCTAAATAGGATCAAGTCTGATTGGATCTAGGACCGAATTCAGATTTAAAAATGAGAGTCAGACAATATTTAAGGTATAGTATGGGATAAACATGGTCCGACCCGACCCGTCTTATAGTCACTCAGTTATCATATTTGAATGTGTCTCTATTCAATTGTGTATAGAGTAATGACACTCTTTAGTTAAAAGTATCATTATTTCTCTAATTTTTTATCACATATACATGATTATCAATATATATACATACATCATTTCATATGTCAAATTACATATACATAATAATAAACTAAAATGTCTAGAAACCTTTATATAAAAATTATATTTAATCGGATTTAGGGTCGGGTTTAAATCCAAAGATTTTGTCATATTCGATATTTGGGGTCAGATTAGCTTCTCATCTAAATCCGGATTAAAAAAATGATTCTACCAATATTTATAATTGAATAAGGAACAAACTTTATCCAACTAATGCTCACTATCATAAATAATACGACTGTGGACTGCCTTCAAACTTAAACCCACAATCAGCAAGATTTGGCCTTCACTTTTAACCGCCCAATCAGTCCAAAAGTTCATAATTGCTAACAAGTTTACTTTAAAAAGCAATATTCAGAAAATAAGAAGGCCAATAAGAGCCTCAACTTAATTATCCTGTTCATTGACTATGATTATACATATATGCGCATATTTACAAATACAATTTTAATTTTATCTTAAGGAAATAAGCTAAAATTTCTCTGGGTAAATCTCTAAACTAGTAGAGTGAGAATTTATCTTACCTAAATTAACATCTTAACCCTAAAGTGAATAACTTCTACTCCCCTAATTCATATTAGAAATGAAATAATAAGAAAAGAATGTGGATTTCATTTATTGAATGAATAGAATTGTAAAGAATTATTATCTAACTTTTAATTATCTAACTTTTGACTAACTAATTAATCTATTTGACACATGTTTTTAATCATGGAAATATAAAAAGTAAGTAAATACAAACTAATTACTAACACAATATAATATTAATTAAAAATACCAAAATATAATTCAACACTTGAAATAACAAAATCTAATAAACTTATACACTAAACATAATTATGTAGTTTTATTTATTCTCCTTATGCTTGCACTTCACTTTACACATGGCTCATCTGCTACTCAATCATCAACGTTGCACATGGTAACTTTCGTATTAACTAACAGATTCTCTTAAATATAAAGCTACTGCGAATAAGAAATGTAGAGTGGACCTGTCCACTTTATAGATTTTGTGGAATATCATCATGAGTTTAGTCTAATCATTTTTTTTATTCTACTACAGATAATGGAAGTGACTGCAAGCAATAGTGCATTGATTAAATTTCTATCTAATTCAATACTTAGCTCACATTTAATTAGATAAAAATATAAGAATAAGATATGTGTCTTCAACCATAGGGCCATTAATTGATATATTGTTTGATAAAAAAGATTCTTACTATTTTGGATCTATACTATAATTAGGCATTACTTAATACATTTCTAACACCTAATCAATAATTCTCTGTCGGATTATTATGGGTTATTTTTAGTATTGTTTTTTTGCTGATGACTTTCACAATTAAACCTTTTTAAGATTTATAAATGAGGAGAAAGGTGAACAGGACAACAAAGAGGCTAATCTACAATACCATAAAATATTATTATGCAAATTCAACCACAGCTATAAGTTACATGAAGATAAAATACCAGTTCTGTTACTATCAATTTCACTTCAAACAAGCTAAAACTATGAACAAGTTA